CTTTGGCTCTTTTATGACTCGTGGACTTCAACTCCCAGAATTCCTAAGCCAGCCATGCTGAGGAGAAATGGAGAGGTTTCCATGCTGAGCCATGCTGGCTCAGGAATTCTGGGAGTTGAAGTCCACGAGTCATAAAAGAGCCAAGGTTGCCTACCCTTGCCCTAGGGAATAAATCTGGGAGACATAGTCATTCAGCCACTGCAAACTCTATAGGTAGTCCTTAACTCCAAAATTTCCATTGTTAAGTGAGACATGTGTTAAGTGAATGTTGCTCCATTTTACAACCTTCCTTGCCACACTTGTTAAATGAATCACTGCACTTGTTAAGTTAGTAACCCGGTTGTAAAGTGAATCTGGCTTCCCCATTGAATTTGCTTGTCAGAAGGTCGCAAAAGGGGATCGCAGGATCCCAGGACACTGCAACCATCTTAGAGATAAGTCGTTTGCAAAGCGTCAGAATTTTGATCACGTGACCACGGGGATGCAGCAATGGTCGTAAGTGTGAAAAACTCTCATAAGTCACTTTTTTTCAATGCTGTCGTCACTTTGAACGGTCACTAAATGAACAAGCCGAGGACCACCTGTAATGTGTTCTTTTAAGCAGTTAAGAAAAAATGAAACCTTTTTTCCTTTGGACTATTCTTGTTTGGGCATGCCTGACCTTTTCTCTTATTTAGCTTGTCCTCGTTCTGGCAGCCACAGCCATGTCCACAGGAATCCAGTCCTGGTTTTCTTTCCCCCCAAATTTTCCATTTGTCCTTCTAGTTTTCCTTACTTGAAGTCAGCCTGGATGATTTGTCAGGGCCTGCATTGGAACAGCTTGTAAAGTGAAATGCCAATACAAGGAAAGTTAGACATTTTTTGACCCATGTCTGGTCACTTAATGCTAGGATAGGCAACCTACTGATGTGTACTGTTTTCTTATCACTGTCAAGACTACAGATAAATGCACTTCATTTAAGAAATGAAGGCTTTATCAATGAGCAAATAATTGCAGAGCAACTATTGATTCACGTCTCACTTAACAAGAGACAACTGGAACTTGTACAGATGATAAACATTTAATCATTATGTATGGTAAACAACAGGCTCTTACTGAACACAGAAAAGGCCTCAGTGTTCACATAGCAAAACTTGTCGATAGTTTGTGCAAACAAACAAAATTAAATTTAAACCACCATCACCTACACTGTCTGAATACTGTGAATATAGAATTATATCACTTGTTAAATTACGCAGTTGAACCAAAGTCGAATGAGGTTTTTCATTTTTTTTTTACTCCACTTGTCTAAAAAGATGTTGCAATTCTTCTGTGTGGCTTCGTTTTTGAAAGCTTTGCTTATGTTGTTTTTATTCTGAATAGTTTATCCCCTTTTGTGTTTATTCCCATTCCATAATTAGAAAATCTTCTGTCTGTGACTTTAATGATTTCTTCTCAAAACTCATTGATTTTTCTGCTGTTATATGATAGTGGGGCTAATCTGGTAAGCTTAATTTTTACTTTGTGGTGGGAAATGGTTCACATAATTATTTACCATAAAGCATTTAAAAGTTATTTTGCTGATCATATCTTACATAAGTTTTTAATGGCAACAAAGTTGAAACGATGGCAGATTTAAAAATAAATTAAGGCAAACTGGACCTTTCCTTGTCCTGTGTACCCACAGGAAAAGATTTTTACCACATTTTTTTCTAAACTACTACTACATGACTAAATTTGATATTCTAATCAGAAATACCATTCTTGCTAGTCGTATCTGTTACCCAATGTCAATTCCATTCGTATGTACATATTTTCTCATTTAAAATAAATAAATGAATAATATCCCATGAGATCATTGGCAAATTTCCAGTGAATGTTTAGTAAAGAATCCAACACAGTCTTTTGAAGCGAGGTT